TTCTTCTACAGTGTCACAGGCCTTGTCCCAGGCCTCTTCGTGAGGAACGAGACAGGGTACCCAAGAGATGGTTAGTCAATTTGTTGGCTTGCAAGTCAGTCAACAACCTCAACTCTCAGCAGAGGATTATGAGATCCTCCAGGTAGAAGAACTTCATAATGAGTCGCAGAAACAACTGAGAGAGACAGCAGAGAGAAGACAAAGACCTATACTTAGAAAAGCCAAACTAGGGAGTAGGAAATAGGAGCTAAGCAAGTTAGAAACATTAACTGAGTCCACACTTGATCCTGCTATGCAAACACTGCGTAACTCATTGCTTTTTGTGGCTGAAACGTAGGTTGTCCAACAGGAAGTGCTGGCTGAACTAGTGCCAGGCCAGAGACAAGTTTTGGCTGCACTGTAGACTCCTCATCCTATGATGAGACAGCCTCAGTATGTTGTTGTTCCCCCGTCGGTTGCGGGCCCCTCAGTGACGCCGTCGTCGATAGGGCCCTTTTTCTCACCCATGTATGACATTCCTCTTTTAGGTAGTCAACCAGTAGTTAGTGGTCCGATTTTGATTTTTTATTTTGTACCATCGAGGACGATGGCAGCTCTAGTGCCATTGTATGGACAGGCCCAGGTTAGTGTGCAGCAACCTGTGTCAGTGGCTATGCAGTCACTGTAGCAATCGCCTGGGCAAATCTAACCTGTGCAATGGATGCCCAAGATACCCTTGCTAAGTCTCAAGGCCTTCTCTGGCAACAGGAAGAAGGACGAGGACTTGGATACCTGGGTGGGGACTGTGCCTACCTATGTGAGGCACAAGCTCACCAGGACAGAACAAGAAGTCATAGTTGCTGCTTCCTTTTTAAGAGGGATTAGCAGCACGTTGGTTGAATGGGTTAGTACAGCACCAGGGCTACGGTCAGAACTTCGATGCCTGGGTCCAGGCCCAGACATTGGAAGACATCGTACGGACTGTGTATAACAGGTGGCATGACCCTCAAGGGGCTCAAAAGGCCATCGGCGAGATCAACAATCTTTGTGCCAAAAGGTAAAAGAATGTACGCGAACTCACAGACACCGTAGAACGTCTGCTCGTGGTACCTGGTGTACATTACAACCCATAAGTACTGCTCACGGACTATTTGAGATGTATGCCCTTAGATATCAAGAATAAACAAGTGGATGAGGCCTACGCTGAACAACACAACTTCACTTTTTTTAACAAGAAAGCCTTAGACATAGAGGCAAAGCTTGGGACAACGCATCTGAGCCAGGGCGATGGTAGGAAGAAGAGACTTCCCCAGGACTGGAAGAAGAAGGGTGAATTAATGGTCGTCGACCATGATGGTCAGGCGACTGAAATTTACGACTTTTCAGATCTTGGGGAATGGGGCCAATGAAACTTCGGATGGGGAAGTTGTGGCACCTATCAAGGAAAAGACTAGGGGGACTGATAGGAAGAAGGTAGTATAGTCCACGGGTCAAGGCGATCAAGGAACGCCCGCATGGATGAAACATGGTTTAGAGTATGAGGTGTGGAGGGACCGAGTTGCTAAGGGTACGTGCATGAACTGTGGCAATTATGGCCACACATCCAAAACGTGCCGAGGTAAGAAAGTCCTAACGAAGATAGCTTCACCAACGATGTTGGGACCATCTTCGAACCCTGCCAGTGCTTCTGCGAGCACTTCGCAGGGAAACACTTCGGGTCAGTATGAGTTTTAGCCGCTCTTACTCGCGCTGAAGTGGTAACGTTGCCTTCTCCACTTCAGGTGTTGGCCAGGGTTAGTGACCCACGTATCGCCCCGCAGACGCATTCAGATTCACCTAAGCTCTGTTTGAGAGATATGTCTGAGTCCCTAGAGGAGTTAGAGACTGAGTGGTCACGGAAGGACCCCAGAGACTCTTGGACGATGATCCGTAGAGGTCCAAAGGGTGAACATTTCGTGGTAGAGGTCGATGTAGGTGGCCACAAAGTGGCTGTCTTCGCAGACGTAGGCTCTACACGAAATTTCATCAGTTGTGCTTGTATGGATAGACTGCGCTTAGGAGACTAAGTGCAGCGGCTTAACAGAACTGTAGCTTCTACGCTAGCCAACAAGCACCAAATGATAGTTAAAGACTATGTCAAGGACGTAGTTTGTTCCTTCTCTTATGGAGGAGGGGAAGTGAGACACAAAATTTCATTCCTCGTTAGCGACGAACAGACCTTTGATATGCTACTAGGCATGTACTACCTCGAGGTCGCTCAACCTCAGTTTGATTGGGATAGGAAGGTGTTGATACACAAGCTGCCAAACGGTAGGATCGTTAGACTGCAAAAGTATCATTGACAAGCTAGCAGTCTAGTGGAAAACTAAGGCTGCATTTGTGCCTCCGCTTTCTATAACTACTACAAGCAGAATCGCGAGGAGGGCATGTAACTAGTCTTTGTCGCTGAGAAAGGGGAGGTCGTTAAAACACCCCAAGAGATAGAATCATTCGTCCTGCAATATTTCGACCTTTTTTAGGAGCCCACAGGCGTGGTAGAAAGGGAGGTGGTCCCAGGTAGCAAGGTGCCTAGAGGACAAATCTATAGGATGTCTCCTCCGGAGTTGGATGAGTTCCGCCACCAACTCAAGGAGCTCATAGAATAGGATGGATTCGACCGAGTACCTCCCCTTACTGTGCGCCAGTCTTATTTGTTCCTAAGAAGGGGGGTACACTGAGGATGTGCATTGACAATAGGGGCCTCAATGCCATTACAGTAAAAAATGCAAAGCCCCTACCCCGCATCGACGACCTACTGGATAGAGTGCAGGGATGCCTACACTTCACAAAGATAGATTTGAAGTCCAGATACCATCAAATTGTCATTAGTCTTGAGGACCAACACAAAACCGCATTTTAGACCAGGTACGGTTTGTATGAGTTTGTGGTGATGCCCTTTGGCCTATGCAATGTACCTGGTACATTCCAACATGCAATAAACAAGATATTTCATGAGTACTTAGACAAGTTTATCGTTGTGTACCTCGACGATATTCTTATCTTTAGTAGGACTGTAGAGGAGCACGTTGAGCACTTGAAAATAGCGCTAGGTCTCCTAAGATAGCACCAGTACAAGATTAACTTGGAGAAATGTCAGTTCGGTCTCACCAAGATCTTGTACTTGGGTCATGAAATCTCCGCAGACGGGTTGAGGCCGGATGATGCGAAGGTGGCCAGCATACATGATTGGCCCAGGCCTCAGACTGTTACTGAGGTCAGATCGTTTTTGGGGATGACGGGCTGCTATCGTCAGTTTCTTAAGAACTATAGTACTATAGCTTCCCCATTAACTCGACTTGACACCCCTTGGGACTGGACTGAAGCATGTGAGGTGGCCTTCAGGAAACTGAAGTATGCTCTTACACACTATGAAGTCTCCAAACTTCCCGATCCTGATAAACTCTTTGTCGTGACCACAGACGTCAGCCAATATGACATAGGCGCGGTCCTTGCACAAAAGGAGAGCCCAAAATTGAGACCGATCGAGTATATGAGCAAAAAAATGTCATCTCGGAAACTAGTCAGGTCTACTTACGAGCGTGAGCTCTACGCCCTTTACCGAGCGCTGGTCCACTGGAGATACTATCTCCTTGGCAGATTCTTCTATGCGAGATCTGACCATGAGACCCTGCGCTCGATCAAAACACAACCGGTACTCTCAGATGCACTCAAGAGATGGATACAAGTGATAGACATGTATGACTATCAACTTGATCCTATCAAAGGAGAGTACAATAAAGTAGCGGATGCACTATCGCGAAGGGCAGACTATCTGGGCATGTTGGTGATTGAATTCAACATATCAAATGACCTAACTCGATCTTTGGTGGAGGCCTACCAGCAAGATCTAGTTATGTCGGAGATCATTTGTAAGTTCAAAGAGAAGGACAAAATAACTTCTGATGAATTTGCGATGGTAGATGGCTTGCTGCTTCTTGAAAAGGCAGGGAATAAAAGACTGTGTGTTCCACTAATGAGTCTTTACGTAGTTTATTTTTAGGGGAATGTCACGATGCAACTGGTCATTTTGGTTATAAAAAAACTTCAGCTAATTTAGTGCAAAGATTTTGGTGGCCCACAATGATGCAAGATGCAAAAAAGTACGTTGAAACCTGTCAGGTTTGCCAAAGGGACAAACCTAGAACTCAGGCTCCATTTGGGTTTTTCAAACCCTTGCCGATTCCTGAAGGTCCTACTCAGAGTGTGCCCATGGACTTTATGGATACTCTTGTGACCAGCAGGACAGGCAAGAGACACATTTTTGTTATAGTGGACCGTTTTTCCAAGTATGTAAGACTCATTCCCATGCTAGAGACTGCTAAAACTGATTCTGTCATTAAATTGTTTCTGGATAACTGGGTGCGTGACTTCGGTCTGCCTACATCTATAGTCAGTGACAGGGATTGTCAGTGAATTGTGGCAATCAACTGTTGAACAGATGGGCATAAAACTCCAAATGACATCAGGGAACCACCCCGAGTCAAATGGCCAAGCAGACCAGATGAACCGAGTAGTACAACACTTGCTCAGACATATATGAAGCCTAGTCAAGACGACTAGGACGAGAAACTACCTCTCGTCGCCAGCCTATACAATAACGTTGTGCACAGTAAGGCTGGAATGACTCCCAACCAATTGCAGCTTGGTTGAAAGCCCAGAACTGCACTTGACTTTCTACTACCAGAAAGATAACCCACTGCAACACCTCGCAACATAGAGTTTGCTATTAAATACGAACAGATGCTGCAGCAGGCCGTCGAACATATTAGAAAATCCCAGGATGCTATGATTGCATCTAAGAATAAGCATAGACGGGCCTAAGATGGCCCTCTAACTTTTAGGTAGGTGATAGAGTCTGGGTCAAATCATCTGAACTAGGTCAAGAGTTGGGGATTTCACGCAAACTGATGTCGCAGTACTTCGGGCCCTCGGAGATCTTGGATATTGTAGGAGATCGACTAGATGGACCGTCATATGTGATTCGCATTCCTGCACACTTGCATACTTACCCTGTGCTCCATGCCTCCAAGTTGGCACCCTTTCGCTGCCACTAATCAGTTTCGCTCCATGAGATCAATGCTGCCCTCAACCATGGATGGACTTGTGGACATTCACGATATCGTCGAGCACAAGCTGATACCTGTACCCAAACCTCCAGGAAGGGGTCGACCACCAAAGCCACAGATGCAATACCGAGTGCGGTTCAGACATCACATCGATCCAAAAGAAGACCGGTGATTCACAAGAGAGAAATTAATGAAGACTGCTCCCCAAATTATCTCAAGCTACGAAAGAAATTTGAAAGGGAAGTAACCTATTTCATAAGAACTTCTCAGAGGACTGTTGAAGTAAAGGAGGAGGGAATGCGAGGATTCGGATCCTCGGCAGGACTAAGGGGTCCCTATTGCATCTCTGCCCGCCCTAAGTGAAGGAGGGCCTAACAAATCACAAGAGGCCCTCGACTGTCAATTTCGTATTTTGGGGTTCAAGCAGTTTCGTCGCACCTGTTGGTTGATGGAAACAAAGGCCGAGCAGCGAGGAAAATTCCCAGGCCTTCAGGGCCTTTCCGAAAGCACAGGCCCTGGGCGAGATTCGCAGCCTCATACACATACAGTTAAGAGGCCCAACCGAATGAGGCCTAGAAGCGGCACCAAATGCGCAGCATCCTGGGCCCTACCGGAAGCTTCTGGACCGAGGCCAGTCCAATCAAGCTGTTGAACGAGGAAGGTTCTTTCCATATAGGAAGGAGCTCACTGCCTCGCGGGGGCATTCAAGCACTCGCATGCAAGCGGCGACGCTGATAGAGCGAACGCTCGTGGGCTGTTGCTGGTGCTGATAGGCGAGGTGCTAGCGGGTGCGGTCATGCAGGGAGCAGGGCGTTGCTGAGGGCAGCGCCATAGCCCAGCCTCCATAGCTGGTTGGACTTGGACTACAATGCGGCACATGGGTGGTCTTCGGGTGTACAAGGGGAAAACGTGGGTGTAAGATGACGGAGAGGGAGAAGGATAATGATGATGATGATGATGTGAGGGCACATACCTGGTATTGGCGATGGTCTCCTACGGGCGACATCTTCAAGTACTTCGTGGCAGGGTTGTCAACCCCCGGCCCCGGGACCCCGCTGGGGTTCCGGGGTTCCGGGGGTCGGCACCCGGGACCCCGGCCCCCTGTATGGGAAAAAAAAAAAAAAAAAAAAAAACAGAGGGGGGTGCGCACTGCCGGCGTGCAGCCCCTGGCATTTTTT